TTCAAAATTACAGTCAAAGCATCTCCTATCACTGCACTCAGGAAAACTTACGAAAACATAGGAAAAATTACGAAATTGGAGAAAACTTACGAAACTTACGAAAACTTACGAAATTGTATTGGAGAAAACTTACGAAATTGAAGATGAAGGTTTCGAGAGTTCTCTGTCGAAAACAGCTACACTGACATCCTCAATTCGTACTTTTGTGAGCACTTTTATCACGAGTGATATACCGTTTGTGCCGACCAGACGCTTGTCCTAAATTGAAATTTTGGGAAATAAATAAAAAAAAATTCAGAATAAGACGAGTGAAACAGTTTACCACTCACTAATTTCCTTTGCTGTTCTTCAAAAAGTTTCGATCTATCACCTGACTTCCTGCGGTAAGAGCCAGATTGTAGAAGCCGCGTTGTTTCGCTTTTGCAATTGAAACTTCATACAGTGTATTAGTGCTATCCGAATCGACACGTTTCAGCGATTCACGGACAACCACAACTTCCCTGGATGCGGAATGCGTTGCTGCATAAAGAGTGACCGATAAAGGCCCAACAGATTCGCCCAGCACATTGGAGACTCGGATTCGTAATGGCTGCAAAAAATGTGCATAATTCAAACAAATCAAAATGTAAAACAGGACCAAGGCAACAAAAGATGAACTCATAAACCATCTTCTCAGTGAAACTAAAAAAACAACACACAATGCCTAGAGCGCATGTGAAACGTGGCAAAAGAGTTGCTCTTCGCAGATGCAAGCCAATAATACACTTAATAGTTGAGCAATGCATTCGAAACGTTGCTTTTCAACTATTTAAACTCTAATTTTACATACTTCGTCTCCGCACTGTCCTATGTTTTGTAATATCTTATTCCAGATTGCATAATAATTCTAAATTGGACAATTGCAATTATTGCGTTACTGTTATTACGAAAATTAACATTATTATCATTGCTATGATTATTATCAAGTGTTCTAGCTTATTACTAATATTAATAATATTAACACTCGGTTATATAATATACGGCTTTTTCATTACTGTTACTATTATTATTATTATTATTATTATTATTATTATTATTATTATTATTATTATTATT